GATGGAGACCCCAAGAGCTAACATATAAATCAGAAAATCAAGCCACAAATAACTGTGGGTATTTAGCAATGTCATTAGTGAGCTAATCAATGATCATTTAATGTTTGTTCAAAACGCGTCAGTTGTGAATAACTCTAGATTCCTGGATTTTTACAAAGATAAACCACACGATCCTAATACCTCAAGGCAATTGCGGTTTTCTCAAAAGACGCAAGAAGCAAAATATAGAAAAAAAAATAACTGATGTAAACAAAAGCTTTTCCCTAGTTTCCTTACATGCGTTTGTTCTGTTTTAGGCCCAGCAAGACTGGGCGAAAGCCCATTAAAGGACAGGTTCCCATGCGGTTGGCCTGATTCTCTAGTTGGCAGGGCAGAAGTAACAATACACAATTGGTGTATCACTTCTCACGTACCATGATCTCAAGTTTCCCATTTCTGTTCCTGGTCCAGAATTCAAGGCATCGACTGTTGCCTCCTGCCATCATGAATCCATTCCATCCGCCAATGAACATTTTAAACAAAATTAATATTTCTTTCTTTGTTAAGATGTAAAATCCACCCAAAATGGGTAATTTAGGACTTCCTAAGGCCATTCAGATCCCACAATAAGAAACAGACAACCTGGGTCTAGAAAAACGTGACAGCTTTATTTCCCAAAGAATTCAGAAAGTCCCTAAGAATAGGAAATTGGGAGATTAAAAAGCTGCCCACATTTCACAACAATATCTTTGAAAAAGGAAAAGCAGTTGAGGAAGGAGTTGAAGTTAAGGATATTAGTGAAAAGACATGACCAAATGCTTTCACTTTTATCCTCATTTCTCTACAGAAATGCGATCTAGTTACTAGTTGCAGCCACTTGCTGTGGATGTTTGGAGTTGGCGTGTGTGAACCTGATGTTGTCATGGTGATTTGAGTATTCTGGGAGTTTTGCTTTTTCTTGCTAAGTATTATAGCTGATTCTACTATCCAGAAGATAATGATTTTGAAGCAATATTTTCACAGTAGAGTATCTAGGTTTCCCTTGCCTGTGGGAGTTAAAGCTTTTGTATTTCCCATTTAGCTGTTTTTTAATAAATGTTTTGTTGGAACAACTAAGCATGGTATTCCACTAGTTACTAATCAATGTTACAAAATGTAAGACAATGACCTATGATTAGTACTAAGCTTGTATAGTAGTGCATATGTTGTCTAATAAATAAAAATTGGGAAAACAAACAAAATAAAAGGAAAGATATGGACCCAACAGACCCCTCTCTCTCATGAGTCATTTGGTATCATTGACTGTCCTGCCTAGCCCTGCTTCTTCTTCAGACTTACATAGTACTGACTGCCTCTGAATTTTCTCGCTCGTGGCATGGGAGTCAGAGCTCTCTAGAATTTGGAAACAATTTTCTTAAAAAGCTATTGCAAGCAGCTTCAAGCCTCAGTTCTTCCTCCAGCAAGTGAGTCCTATCTAGAGAACAAAAGTGTGGTTTTTTTGTTTAAAGTTCGGGTTCCTCCTTAGATCCAATCATTAAAAATATAAAAATTTCGCAGCACTGCAGTGTAACCAGTCTATGTAAAAATCCCATTCTTCCTGTGATTAGAAGGATGTTTCCCAGCAAGCTTTACTGACTTTCATCTTCTACTCCACCCTCAGTCTCCACAGAATCAATTTCTCACAGCATTAGATACTGTGATTTGATTTTTTTAAGGGACTGTACATATTCCTAGAACATAGCATCTTAAAGCACATTTAAGCCTCAATTAATGTAGTTTCACCAGGTATGTGAAGTGATTCTTGCATTCCAGTCACAAATGACTTATGGATGGTTGGCCATGCCATCCGTGCAGACTTGGCTTTGATTTGTATACGCCCGTGAATTGTCTCTGTGGAGAAAATGTACAGAGGTAGCATTTCACTTTTATGTTTTTCATCAAACAGCTTCCTAGTGACAGAGAGAAAGGTATGAAAGTTGTTAGGGAAAACATTCTGTATTACCAGGAGGTTGTTTCTTCAGAAGTCAGAGGCTTCTGCACACTGCGAAGGGAATACTAAATTAAACCTGTGCTAGAGGATTCCTTTCAGATAATCAGGCTTTCCAAAGCCACCTTTGCCTCATGCGAACAAAGTGGTCTACAGGTAGCTGCTTATAAGTTATTTTGTCATACAATTAAAGGAACTTTGATTCTAAAATGCATGCTTCTGTGTACCAATATGAAATATGTAGTGTCGGAAACATTCTCAACCAAAGAAAGCACTGCAAGTCCACACTGGGACGGGTGCTGGGTGGTTTGTAGGGTCCAGGGAGTCTCCCTTGAGCCTCCTTGAGAGCCTGCAGTCCTACCACCATAAGTTCAGTCCTTTGAATTAAGGCTTTGTATTGGCAGCCTTTATTAGTGTAAACCAAACCCTGCATAGCCACATTTTAAGTAATTATTAATAATGATCCCTTTAAGAAATATTTATTTATCAATTTTCTTTATATCTCAAGAGTTACTTATGAGAGAATGGAAAACCACACCAAATGCCAGATTTTGCTAGGACGTAGGTAAGATGCAAACCTAAAATACCAGTGTCCACCTAGATAGGCAGACCTTAGGAACTCTGGGAAATACGAGCATGTTGTGTGTCATAAAAGGGGGATATCGAAAACAAAGATGCTGTAGGTAACTTTGAGACCTGTTTCGCAGTTCCGCGTAGGTCTAATATGATGACAATATTGAAACGCTATTTTGACCTCAGGATCTTAGTCTACTTTCCTCTGTGATTCTTGGGTAAATACTTGAATTTGTGATATTGAAGTCTTATGGGTGGATTCCAGCCTTTTTATTTTAATAGATTAGTTCCATTTTATTGCAAAACATTTTGAGATGCATCTTCTAAACCAACACCACACCATGGTACACCATTGAGAATGCAGAGAAAACATTCACGAAAGGAATGCCCCTCTGGAAATATCTTCCTGCATCATACGGAGTCTCTCCCCAGCCATTGGAAGGACATTGAATGTCAATGGATTTCAGCTTTGACTACAGCTCCTCATTTGCTTTAATTTAGAGGTCCCAATCTCAGTTCTTTATGGGGTGTTTAGGTTTCCTTGTAGGCCTCTTAGGAATCGCAAGCTTCTTTACTCCTTAACTGTATACTTCATTGCTGTAATTGAAGCTCTTTTGTTGCTGTAATTCCTTCCTAATGTTACAGTTTTAGTCAAGTATTCTTCCCCTCCGGAGGTATTAATTATTGCCAGTTTGGAAAATATCCTCGCTTGATGCGTAGTTTTTGGTTCTGGTGCCAAATCATGTCACTGTTTCCTGTTCTTCCTCGAGGTGAAAAGATTTTTCATCCTTTTTCTTCATTCTTCATCATACACCATGCCCTTTTTAACCTCTGTGGTGTAATTTAGAGCATCTATGTCCCCCAGTTAGAAAGTCAGCATCCTTCGTATTTTCATGTATTTCACCAATTTGCGGTATATGTCTCAAGACAGAAGATTTAAATTTCATCTTATTTGCTATCAGCGGTGAAATTATTGGTCACTGGAGCTTATGATGGTCTATCCTTGCTAAGGATTTACCTATGGTTTATAGCATGTCATTGAAATGAATGGTTATTTTCCAATGACAAAGGCCTTCATTGAAATACAAAGTTGAAAGAGAGGATATTTCTTCAAATGTCGCAGACTGTCCTGGAAAATATCCCCTAGTTTGAAGTTGTGAGTTTTTCCTTATTTAGTCCTGGTATCTATTTCAGATCATAGACAGTTAAATGAATTCTGTATTATTATTGAACTTCATAATCTTCTTTTCATTCATGTACATACACTCACACACATGCACGTGCACACAAAATCTACTCCAATTAAAGACAAAAAACTCCTTAATTATTGTTTTACAAAAAGTTACAAACACTAGGAAAGATTTTAAAATAAAAGCAGTCACTCTTGAACCAGCATTTACTCAGTGTCCACACTGAGACTGCCCCTGTTCTAGGCAATGGAGAAAGAGCATTAAGCTGGACAGACAAATTGACAACTCCCACAGAGCCTGAGTTCTAGAAACTTGATCCAGACTCCACTTTCATTTTAAATGTATTTTGTTCTTCCTCATCTGATTATGTGCTAAGAGGCCTCTATATTCTCCATTCAATAGGAACAAGTTCTCCATGATGAGAACACGAATTTGTGTTTTAGTGCTTGGAATTATGCGATTTATCCTAAAGTCATCTGCTTCTGAAAGTAGTACAAGTGTATTTCATTATATAAAAGGGAAATACACTGAAATTTATTATTATTTTACTGAACATAAATCAGGAAATAGACTCAATATACATTACCGAAGGACTGACATTTCAAGCCCCTCAGCCATGTGTTTCAGTAAATGTGTTTCCTTGTTCATTTACTGCTCTATTTTGAATCATTGCCTCTGCTCATATGACTGTTGATGTCTCTCTCTTCAGCCTGGATGAACCCATTTCTTTTCAAGGGCAAGAGCTTCTGCAGAATAATAGGAAACCTTGGCCTGAGCTACCCAAAACACTTGCTTATTATCATATTGTATAGAACTCCAAAAAAGAATTGAGACAGAGTCTAGTATAATCTTTTTTTATTTGAACTTTATTTTGTTTTATTAAAATACAAACACAGTAGCTCTCAATATTTTTATGAATATTTTGCTACCTACTGTGACATTCTCAAATATTTTATTGATTCCATCTTACTGATGTATGCATATCTTATTTATACTTTATGGTGTGATTTTTAAAGAGTTTAAGTTTATGACTTGATGCAAAAGAATTGCACATCTCCAACTTTACAATGAAAATTTAAAACATTGGTTTGAATATACAGAAATACAAATGGACGGTAAATTTTGATGGTTTTGGTCACACAAGTTAATTTCACACGTTGGGCAGTAATTATGAAAACTTCCCACGGTGACCCAAAGAGTTATCAGTGAGCTCCCCATTCTGTTGTAGGATTTCTCTCTAAGATAAATGTTCTGTGTGTGTTTTCTCTCAGGAGGTCGAGTTGTGTCGTGTTAGCAGTCAAGAGAAGCTGGGCCTGACAGTCTGTTACCGAACGGATGATGAAGAAGACACCGGCATTTATGTCAGCGAGGTAAGAGATGCCATGGAGAAGAGATTAAGGGAGGGAGACTGCGAGGAATGGAGGGAAATGACTCACAATGAGAAAATCCTTGGGAGGCTTGAATGTGAAGGATTGGCCATGTTCCAATACTTGTCACTTTCAATTAGGAAAGTAAATTATGTTGCCCAAGTAACGTAATTGTTATCAGCTTGTTTAATGTGGTTGCTTTCACCACAGAATCCCAGGAAGGAGAAGTGTAAGAATGGTAACATAGCCTAAATTTGAAAAAATTCCCATAAGTATGCAGGAAGTCAAGCAAAGGTTTTGATCAGCAAATATTTGTTCTTCCATTCCACTGTGTCTTTTATCAATTTTGTTAACAATAGCATCGACTAATTGTTTTAAATCTCATATTCACAATAATCCCATATTTTACTCTGCTGACAGGATTGATAAATTTGAATATCCAGGAAGCGCATCTATTAGTTTGTTTTATTCAGCCCCATAATCACTTTCAAAAATGAGGTACTTAACTGTGAAACACCCTTAGTATTAATTACTTTGAAAAAATGTGAAAAACAATTTATTATAGATGATTTTCTTTCTTTTTTTTTTTTTTTTGGTGAGGAAGATTCACCCTGAGCTAACATCTGTTGCCAATCTTCCTTTTTTTGCTTGAGGAAGATTGTCCCTAAACTAACATCTGTGCCAATCTTCCTCTATGGTGCATGTGGGCTGCCACCACTGCATGGCGTGATGAGCCATGTGTAGGTCTGTGCCCGGGGTCTGAACACGAAAACCCTGGGCTGCCAAAGCAGAGCGTGCAAACTTAACCACTGTGCCACCAGGCCAGCCCCTAGATGATTTTTCTAAACTCCCAAAAGAATCATTTTATGAGAAATAGTAAGATATGATTTTTTAAAAATTATATATGCATATGATTAAAAATTAAATATCTATACATGCAAACATGTATGTACCTGCATGTATCTATATTATCCAACTTCTCCATATGTATGTATGCACACACATATATGTGTGTGAAACCACGTATGTGTATATATATATGTGTGAAAATGTGTATATGTGTATATATATATATATATATGCAGAAGTTAGACAAGCTAGATACTAATTGCCGTTCCATGCTGTTCCAAGTTTTCTTGGCCATTGCCTAACTTACTGAGCTTCAGCTTCCTCAACTAGAAACTTAGTCCAACAATGCTTATCTCATTGTTTTTATAGAAGTGTTTAGAATATGGAAAAGAGAATGTAATTAATGCACTTAGAAAACTACACAGCTCTATAAATGTGAATGTTACTCTTTATCATTTACCAAGGAATTTACTGACTGGCTCTTGCAATGGAAAAGTCTCCAGAGAACATTTGACTTATATACCTCTTTTACCTGTACAACTATGCTAATCCCTCCGATTATGGTGAGGAAGTATGGGGGAGCACCTGCAGAATTATCTTCTGTAATATGTAGAAATACAAATATAGAAGTTTAATATTAGTTTAATTACAATTCTGAAGGCAAAGTTTTAGATTTGAATAGCTTCTAAATAGGATGCAATTGATTAATTATCCCTCACTTTCATTTAGTCTAAGTCTCTCTTTGCTGTTTAAATATGTCAGCTTTGGAAGTTTACTTTTCAGGGATAGTAAAGAAGCCACAGGAACTGAACATGTGTACTTGGGAGGCATGTTTTCCTTATACCTGTTACATGTAATTATAGTGTCTTTTGTTCTGGATTGATCACTGAAAACTCATTGACTAGATGGCACCACCTAATAAGAAAGCAATATCTAATTTCCGGATAGGATGGGTCAACCCATGCTACACTGGAAATACTTTGCTTAAAAAAACACTTTGATGGAATAAGCTCAAATAAATGTTTTGAAGCCATCATGTGAAATGTGATAGATGGAATTGCCCCTTGTGAACAGCAAATCATCACTCGTTTGGCCCATTAAAATGTTGGTAAACTCTTTCAAAAGCCTGAAATATCTATTTATTCTAAAATAACATAGTTAATTCATGTCATCTTATATGTAAAATAGTGCCCAGTAATAATCTACATGGATAGGATTTTTTGAGGAACATAGATTATAATCTCTTTATAAATTAATGTGCTCATGAGATAGAAATTCCTTTAATATGTATGGATTTACCATATAGCTATCAGCTTTTCTAAGACAGCTAAGGCAGGATTTAAAAATCACCCTAGGAGAAAGTGAATTTCCTGGGTCCAGAGAATCCTAGTATTAGCATCAGCTGAAGATTGTGTCAGCCCGAGACCACGTCTGACAGTTGGCATACAGACATGAGTGAATAGATGTGATAAAGAAAAAAAGAAGAAAGGATAAAAGGGCGAAAGAAAGAGAGGGAGAGAAAAGTCGTTCTCAAATCAAGTTCTGCTCTAGTTCTTTTTAATTTTATTATCATTAATTCTAAAATAGTGCATATATATTTTTAGAATCAGTAATTTCTGACAGAGAAAAATTTGACATGCGCTCTATAATTCAATAGGGAATTTTAAAGGTTTGTAAAAATATTTTTAAAACGACACTGTAAGTTCCTGGGAAGATATTTCATATCCAATTGAAAATGTGTGTCCTCTCCATTACAGGTAGATCCAAATAGCATTGCTGCCAAAGATGGCCGAATTCGAGAAGGAGATCGCATTTTGCAAGTATGTGGTATTGTTATTTCCTTCACTTTCTTACTATCTGCCCAACAGTTTTAATTTTATTTTGTTTCTTGTAAAATGTTAGGAAAAAGAATTTGTCTTTGCTTCTGGATAGTAACATCTACAAAAAGCTATCATTTAAACCTTTTTTTAAAGTAAGGATAGTGCCATTTATTAAGAATTATTAGCTAATAATTAATGATTAAGACATAAACTCTGGGCTCAGACTCAACTTCAGCGTCCAGCTTCACCACTTACACATTACTTAACCTCTCACTGCAAGCCTGTTTCCTCATTTAAAAAAAAAATGATAATAATAAAACATATTGTTGCGAAGGTTAAATGTGATTATGCATGTGGTATGCCTAGCACCGTGCACGGTAAACAGTAAACATTAACAGCTATTATTACTAGCGGCACCAGCAGTTATTGCTGCCTTTTCCAGAATAAGTGAGGTAAACATGGATCCCAATGTTCCATTACTATAGGAAAGTCTAGAAGTCTCAAGACGTTTTAATAATTTACAAATGAGTTGCTGGGGACAGGTGGAAGAAATATGCTTTCTTCTGCACGTGGAAATGTGAAAACATGGAGACTGATTAAATTTCAGTTTAATGAGGGATATGGTAAGCAGATCACAGCCCAAATCAAGAATAATTTTGAAAGCCAAAGTTCCCGTCTTAAACTAACCCTGCCGCGGCCAGCTCTGTCCATTCTGAGTCCTTTCTCATAAGGAACGGCTGCAGGAAGACACACAGCTCCCCAGCCCTTGTGTCCAGATTAACCCAAAATAAGAACAGGCACCCTTCAGGGTTGGGTTTCACGGCAGATCACAACCGCAAAATGGAGGAGGACGCAAAAGACAAACTGAAGAAGTACAAACTGTTCAGCTATTCTGCAAGACTTGCAGTCATTCTCACAGGTCTGTGGTTCCCCTCACTGGATATGAGCCCCTGAAGAGTGTTTCTTTAAGTTCAGCACATTTGGATTCAACACTCTGCCTAAAACCAGGGCTTCAAAATTAGACAAGATGCCGTCCCAGCATTTGGGGCACTCCCTCCGTAATTAGGAAGATGATGTGTACACAGCACCATGCAGTGTGACCTTGTCGTGATAAAGTTGTGCCCAAGGTGCCTTGGGCACACTCCAGCAGGTTATCCTGCCCAGCCTTCTGTGGTTCTTTCCTTTCTCTAGGGTGACACATCACTTCTTCATTCATCCCTTCTCCCTTCTCTAGCTGGATGCCACAGAACTCCTTTTCATCAGGAACCCTCTACTGAAAGCCCCAATTAGGAAAGAATACAAGCATGAATTAGTGGTCATTCTTGGTCCTACTAGTTTTCAGAAAACTTTAAGAATATATGATTTCTACTTCAATGAGTGGTGACCTGTAGTTAAACAAAATGGAATGTGTCTGTCATTGCATATATGAGGGGAAGGAAAAGCGAATCAGGAAACCAAAGCTCAGTCTTGTTTACTACCATATTTTAAATTCTTTCTTTCCCATACATAAATAAATGAATGAGTGAAACAAAGGTATTCAGTGGAGAAAATAATAGGATAGATCAATAAAATCTGCAGTAAATGTTTACTTGTATAGCCTCATTAAGAAATAAGGGTACCATTTCAGTGCAGCATCCAGATAAGGAAAGCTTCAAAATATTTTACTTTTTTTGATTTGGAAATAATTTTAAATGTATTCTTCACTTTGTTAACATCTCCAACTAAGTATACCGAAAAGAATGTAGCCTTCTTTTCATGCTCAGGGCCGTGTTATGCCCAGAAATCATTATACAGTGTTACAATAGAATAAAACGCTCAGTGGCTAAAAAGTCTGAAAGATTTTGTGCCCCAATATTAAATGACCCTATTTGGCTATGTTTTCTGATGTTGGGTCTGTATTTTGTCATTTTTTTCTTGCTGTTTCCAGCTTTCACCTCTTCCTCTCACCAGCTACTTACATCTGCTGCTGCACCCTCACTGGCTCCCTTCCTAGTTTCCAGCTAACACTTACCTATGGGTTAGATACACAAATACAGTTATTAAAATTACATCTTTTAGTTCAGTGGCTAGACTTGGATAGAAATAAAGTACATATGTTTCCATATATGCATACTTTGTTTTGACACTTCCTTGTTCTTGGCTATAGTGTGGGCAGATAAAGTTTTCAGATAAAATATTTGCTGGATAATAAGGCATTACTTAATGGAGTTGGTTCATTGAAGAAACAACAGCAGGGGTGATAAAGTGCTATTGTCTGCCTGATTACTTTATATTCAGTGACAAATATGTCACACTTAATGAATAAATACACGTCACATTAAAAAGCCTAGAATTCAATTCTATCTGTACACACAGGAAACAAAGCGTCTTAAGGGTGATGGTGAAATTATATTAAATAAAACTGTGACAAAATTGTACCCATAGACAAATAGCTCCATATGGCTGATGAGGAGATTATGGGATACCCTGTAATGAACAAGTAATGACTCCTTTCCCAGGGAGATGAGAGTGGGAGAAAGAGAGGATTTACTTCTTATCCCTGAAGTTTCCTGGCTGGCTTTTATTTAAATGATTCTCTTTAGAGCAATTGTGATTTTAATTTCCTGTTCATGATGACCTAAGTAGAATATTTCTATAGTCCTGCCCTCATCATGTAGCTAAAATTTTCTAAATGTCATACACCATGGGCCTGTAGTACACTAGGGGTGACCTCACCCAATGACACCACACACACGCGAACACACACTCTCACAAGATTGACATAAGGTGGGGATTATGCAGAAGAGAGACCATAAACCAACCTCATGAAAACATGTTCTAATTCTCATGTGTTTTTTCTCTGCAAGTGCTTGACAGTTCTTTCGGCTGCGCCATTGCCACAAACTTGTGGTATCAGATGCATCCTCGGGAATTAATATGAGGAAGTCTTCTCACAAAAGTGCAGGGCTGAATGAAGACAAGGCATTTCTGAGACAGAGAGAAAGGATTAAAGTCCACATACAATCAGCTTTCCAAAGGAGAGAATGCTGTATTCTCATTTCCTCCTTGGGATAGTAAGCATATAATAGTCCATGTAAGCTGCCTAATCTCACGATGGCCAAAAAAGTCAGTCATATCCCTAAGGATTACTCCCTGACAAAACTCTGCAAAATCTCAAACAGTGGAACAGCAAGACTTCTTTTTTTTTTTTTTTTTAAGGAAGATTAGCCCTGAGCTAACATTTGCTGCCAATCCTCCTCTTTTTGCTGAGGAAGACTGGCCCTGAGCTAACATCTGTGCCCATCTTCCTCTACTTTGTATGTGGGACACCTACCACAGCATGGCTTGCCAAGTGGTGCCATGTCCACACCCGGGATCTGAACTGGCGAGCCCCAGGCCGCCAAAGCAGAACGTGCGCACTTAACCGCTGCGCCACTGGCCTGGCCCCATGGAACAACAGGACTTCTAATGAACTCTGTCTGTCTTCCTCTATGCTACACAAATGCCCTCAGCATTTCTTCCTACTCTCTTATTTTCTTCCCTTTTAAGAGCTGTGTTCCCCCATTTCTGTTCTTCCGACCTGTAGATCTCTATACTTCATCACCTTCTTTTTCTCCCCACTAAAATATGAACACATTTGAAATAAATTGTTCCTCTTTCGTCTTAGATTCTTGGGTTTTCAAATAAGAAATTCTAGAGGTAGTTGGATGCCAAGAATTTTAGTTGCCCATCTGCTTCTGGTACACTGATATAGAAAACCTAAAAATTGGTATGTTCAAGCAAAAAAGCTATATTAAACCATGTCTAGGCTTTTAGGGTTTTACACACACACACATACACATGCACACACTCATATGCACATATCTGAGATTGGGCCTAAAGTGGGGTTTCAACTGATTTATCTTTGTAATTGCCACAAATCTCCTCTAAGCCAAGGCAATATCCATTTTGAAACTAATATTGACGTATGCCCATGCACAGAAAATGAGGCAAATACATTCTCTGGCAAAGTTTTTCCTCTTTTATAACAAAAGTTATATGTTACCCTTCTCCTGATCCTCTTTCCCTCTTTTCTCTTAAAATGGAAGTCTTCCATTAAATTGTGATGCAACGACCTGTCTGTCTCCGCCACCCTCCCCCAACACGTTGCTGGGCCCCGCTCCTTTATGTCTGCCTGTTGTTTTCAGACACAGCAAGCCGCTTTCCCACAAGCAGTCCTGTAGCTATGAACCATCATTCAGGAACAAGAGTAAATGAAGGTTGAAAGCTCTATCTGATTTCATTCCTCAAATCTTTTCATTCCTTGAGAGACATCTTTGCTGAAACCCATGGCTGCATTTCTTTCTCCCATATCAGTTTGGGTATCAAACTAATGTTCTAAATACGATAGGATCCAGCAACCAGATGACTAAAGTGGTCTTTGTTTTGAAAAAGAAACAATAAATTACATTTCAATGCTAGATTTCTGTGGCAAGTTCATTTCATTCCACATATGATTCTGAATGTAAAAGTTCTACAACATGTGATCTGTCCTCCCAAAGTAAGGACTTATTGCCAGGGCTGGGGACCATAGGTCTGGTCATTATGAGTTCACAGAGGAGAGAGATGAATACCAGCTGTGCAGGGACTGAAAATCAAACACAACCATATTGTTTCTTCATGAAGCCCTCTAAGGGTTACAAATTCATATGAGATAGGTATCTTTTAAAATAGAACCATGTTTACTACTATGGATTTAATTCTTGTGCATGAATTTTAATATATTTGCTTTCTTTAGAAGAAAATAGTCTTTACTGAAGATTCAAATATAAATAATGATAGTATAATAATACTAATAATAACAACAACAATAGCGTCAACAGTAATATGTGCCAACCTTGAGCACTTTCTGTATACTGGACACTTATTTAAAACCCTTTGCATATATTAGTTTATTTAATCTTTATAACAACCCTCTTAGAAAGGCACTGTTATCTGCACTTTAATATGGGAAACACAATAGTACTATTAAATGAACATGAATGAAGAGTATTTACATTAACGGTAAGTGAAATTTAGATAAAGAATTTGGAAGTATGTATATGCTCTAGAGAAGACCAGAGAAAAAAAGTAGTGAGAGTTCTATTTCAAACAGAAAAGATGAAGATTAGTGGTGTGAGATCATCCAACTCAATCTCCTTAGGATCAGATGTGCCTATGGTGGAGGGAAGTTGAGCAACTAGAGCCATGGGTGATAGACAGATGCATTGTGGGTATACTGCTAAGAATGACTGTGAAATGGACATAAGCCCTCAAAGCTCAAAGAAAGTAAAAATTTTCAAGTCGTTATTTCCAAACTACACTTAATTGGGAGGTAGTGGAATATATCACTGCCTATTTATTTTTATTTAAGGACAAAAGGCCTTGGATTCAGTACAAAACATAGCTTTTCAGATATTTACTTCAAAAAACACAACATATGCTTCCCAGCCATTCGTCCCCATTTTGGAATCATAGCTTCTATTTTCTAATTTGATGAATTTTATTCGGAAATTGCAAAAAAAGAAAAAGGAAATGCACTTGAAACTTGTAGAAGCTGAATTTCTTGTCTACATAAACAAGGGGAAAGCTAAAGTGACAGTCATTTGGTCCAAATTAAAAAATACAGCATGTGGTTATATGATTTTCCCCATTATCACTATTAGTGTCTGCTTTCTTTGTGGTAAATATTTATGATAAGACTCTAGGAATAAGGATCATTTATTGTGGTCCAAAGTTGAGATTCCTCAGCTTGTTTTCAAATCTTATGTCTGTGCTCATGTGTCAGCCAGAATCCCAGAGACCCACAAGGAGAAAACCTCAGGAGTCTACTTCTTGCTTTTAAGCAGAAATCCTTAGTGAAAGATGATAATTATTGTAAAAGTGGTTAGTGAAACCACATTTTCTGTTTAATTTATAAAAATAATTAATACTTACTTTAAATAGAATTACTTGACCTCTTCAATTGAAATTTCTTTCTACATATTTGGATTATGTATCATGGATCAAAAATCTCATTGTCTCCGTGAATTTGAGCAATCAATAAAGCAAAATATGCAAAGAAAAAAGTTGTGTTAACTAAGAGCTAAGCACATTTGAACATAAAACTGTAGTTTAAAATAGAAACTTTAGAAACCTGTTTGCTCTCTCTGTAGAACTCAGAAAAAGGAAAAAAAGAGACATTTTGAATGCCACTGGAATCTTTTCTTTTTAATCAAAAGTTTACTCAAGCTTGGTTTCTTTCACTAAATATTCTCATAAAAAGCCAGTTTTACTCTGTGTTACTTTTTAAAAATTTAAGCATACTTAAGAGATGGGCCTTAAGATATCGCATTAGTTTTGTTCTTTTAGGAAATGGAGAAACCTCAGGAAGAGCTGGAATATTGATGAGGATGTCACTAATGAACTGTGTCCTTCCCTGATTAGTTCAGCACTGAAAGATATCCTGAGAGTGATCTGGGGCAACCGAGGCAGACCCACATACAAATATGAAATGATTAAACGAAAATGCAATCAGCAGTGGCCTGGGAGCAGTGCCCGGTGAGAGATAATACTGCGGCTCTCTAATTGGCTCGCAGCAAGCATGCAGGATGACGGATTTCAGTTGTGCTATTGCCAGCCCTGCTTCCCCCAGCACTATTATCTCAGAGTGACACTTCCATTACTCTGAGCGGAGAAAGATGAACGTCACCTGTCAGGGGCTGGTTAATTGTGTTGCTAGATGTATGTTGCCAGGGCGCAGGTTGGACATTTATGAACATAACTGCTTCCTCTGATGTCCGCCATCCTTCAGGGATCGATATGGCTCTTACAGTAAGCGCGTAATTGAGTGAAGGCACTTACCACTGAGGGGCTGAAGATGAGACCATTGTATGAGCTTCATTGTCCATACATTTACCATAAATGAGCTGATATTTGCCATTTATTGTGTGCAGCATTGTGGAAATGGAAACTAATGTGCCACTTTCATTTGTTTTCTAGATAAATGGGGAAGATGTCCAGAATCGAGGAGAAGCAGTGGCATTGCTGTCTAGCGATGAGTGCAAGAGAATTGTGCTGCTGGTTGCAAGGCCAGAGATTCAGGTCAGAACAGAGATCAGAAACCTTGAGACCGAACTTTACATTCACTACTTGCTGTTCTGCATCAAGTCAGTACCATGGATACTTGTAACACCAAGTATACAAAATATCATTGATTTATTTTTCCTAACTTACCAACCTTATCAAAAAAATTATAAGTTAAAGACTCCCTATATTGCTCCACAGAATGGCAGCTAAACATCTTATTTTTAAAAAAGAAGAAAAAAAGCACACGAAATTGGATCATTATTCTCTCCTTCCACTTGCCAGCTATTTAAATGAATTCATAAATGAAAAATGGTTGACTTTACATGATTTTTAATTCTGTATGGATCTTCACTTCAGGTTTTCATCTAAAATTACTTAATTGGCATATTAAGGTATCTTGAAAGAATCTCTAACAAGACAAACAGCATATCTAGCTATCAACTTAAATCTTTTTAGAATAACTTTACCAAATCAAGTGCCTTATGTGGCATGGTGTGGTTCCCTTTATAGTAATTGAATTTTTTCCAATTTTAGTGTGACAAAAACATCTGTCCAGCCCAAAACAAACTGAGAGCTTCTAAAGGAATTTTTTTATATCTTTACAGAGGGAGATGTCATGAAAGTAAAGGAGAGGTAATGGTGGAAGAAAAGTACTGTTGGTACTTCCTTTTATATCCGTTTTATACCCCACCACGATGCAGAAAGGACATTGCATTGTCACCGTTCTATCCATCTGTCAGTAGTTTGAGTGAAGTTGGTTATATCACCATTTGTCTCCCAAGTTATTGATCTGATATATTTCAGACTCAGTAACTACATCCTATCTATAAATTACATTGAGCAAGTGTATTTCAGTGTCAGACCAAATCCTGACTTGAATATAGTGGTTATAAAGGATCACCCTTTCCGCATATATTTCCTTTATGCCCTTGACCATTCTAAATGGTTCCCATAAAGCCTGCCATAGCCCCGGGCAGAGTAAAGTTACACACCTGAGGTCACAGGAGCTGGAAAGGGAACCTCCACAACTGGCTGGACTGCGTCTGTGGGAGTGAAGCTTTAAAATACATATGAAATCGCACTGATTACCTCGAAATTTTGCAAATCGATTAACCTCCCTGACCCCATTTTCTTGAAAAAGAACAGAATAAAGGGGCTATTAGTGAAATTCATAGTAAGCTGAAGAGAACTTAGTAGTCATCCCTGTTCTAGGAAAGATATTTCGATGTTATAATGTAGTTTCTTTGCCCTTTCCACGTAACTGCTAGAGAACCTCATTAATTTAGAATTAAAGCATTTCCTTAAACTTTACCACCTAATGGCTATAATGGACTGTGGAAAGAATAGAAATTAATGACATGAGACCAGATCCTGTTCATCTTTGACTGAATACATATGCTTGGTAGAATCAGTGGCATTTTCGAATATTTGGCTACATTCCTGACCCAAAAGAATCAATGCTGGAGGATGAATTTTCAAACAAGACTTCCTTTCCGCAGTTAATAAAAGGTGGTCACCTGACTCTGGAGGATACCCTCCTGTGTCAAAATCAAGATCTGCTTTAGTCCTTTGATCCGGAAGAAGCCTTCATGCCACTGGAAGGAAGCTAATTGCCTTTCGAAAATCAGAATTCTAGAAAAATAAGGAAAGAAAATGCATTTTACCACCATACTTTAAAAATGATATTTAAGCAGTACATGCTCCAAAGTGGCAAGAAAAAAAAGACCAAAAAAACCTAGTCTTTATATCACCTATATTTTTCCATCAATTTCAATATATCTCATTATTGCATTATTTGCATGTGCATTTTATTCAGGGAGAATGTGGATTTTTTTGTGTGCTTTTTCTAGCCCTTTTTTTAGTGTTTCAAATGCTCTCTACATTCTTGGAAATGATCTACAGAGTTGCTGGGGGCAGCATTGTACATCTGTGCAATATTTTTAAATAACTCATTTCTCACATTCCCTGTCAACTTTCTTTCATTTTCTGCCCATTTTCTTTCTCAGACCATTAAAGATATTGCTATTCTGTCCTGTTCCCCTTGGGCCTTTGGGGCAGAGAGGGCTCTCATAAGAACTCGTAGCCACTATTTTTGAGACAGTGCAGGTTGTTTCTTTCTCTGAAATGCCATGTGTGATCCCCGACCACGCAGACAGACCCCTACTATAACAATGACCATCATGCCTTTCCTGCCACTCAGCTCAAGAGAAAGATCTCTCTCTTCCACAGTGTTAGGCAGACTGCCATGAATGCACGTGCAGGTGGAAAGGGAAATACAACAGGGAAAGGAAGTGAGCAAGAAGAATCTCTCCTCACTTATTGTGCTAGAGGAAAGCTTAATCAAAACAGACATATACTCACTACAGATGGCAACTCAAGGATCTATGGGGTTAGTTAATAAGAAAAGAGTTATAAGGAATCATTAATTTCTACCATTTGTTGTTCTTATCTCCCCCACCCCTTCATTTCAATTTCAAAAGACTGTTTCATCATTCGCTATGTCAGTGTTAGCAAGTCTTTTGTTTTGACCTGATTAAAGAAAATTCCTTGGTGTGCTCATAAAAAGTAAACATCACTAGCTTTAAGCAATTTCCTTTGGAGTCTGGTGTTTGCAGCTTCATGAAACTTAAAAGGGATTAAAGAATGTAAAACTTGGACAATTATAAATTGGGCTGAATTTAAATTTTTAGTCAGCTTGATTTTCATAGTTCATCTGCATATCAAAGTCAGTGGGGTAGAACTTGGTCAAGTTATTCAGGCTACATTAAGATAAATGAGGATGAATAAATGTGTCCATGCTTTTGGCCCCAGTCAAATTTGAGGTAATTTAAGTTCGAGATAGGTTTTAATAAATCTCAAGAAACCTATGATTGCCTTCATATTAATGAATATGATACATATACGCTAATGCCTTTCCTGGTGCAGTTTAATGTCCTTTCAGAGTTTTTGTTTTTAAGCTTTTGAAGTCCAGTCATCTTTAAGAGTTTATTTTGCCCATTAGTTTGAGATGAAAACACTTCAAACTATTGTCAATTTTGGCTCTTTAGAAAGCTGCTGTTTCTTTGTAACACAGAGTGAAGCAGAGCTGTGACAATAATTCAGCTAATTTAATCAGCATAGACAGCTAATTTATGTAATCCAGCTCCCACAATCCACTTTGAGGCAAATTATCTGTATTGACTGTCAACACTCATCACATTAGCAAGGTAACCACCAGTTTTCCACTTCACTTTATACTGAGAAGCCAAGGGGATCTGTTCAGTTTAATTTGTGTAAGAGTCCCACAAGAATACTTGCATTCAGCACCCACAAACAAAACCCCACATGCTCCACACCACTCCACCACCCTAAAATGCCACACTTCAGGTATTTTCCCTTGGAATTGGGCCTGAAAAATGAATTAAAATAGACATGGCATAGCAGCTTTTTTTTTTTTTTTTTTTTGAGAAGAATAACTTAGAACTTTTTTTTTCGTATCAAATAAATGTTGTCTGTGAATTCTCTTGTGGGAAGCAGTCATTTTGTTAACTTGGAAACCATCTGGCTGAAAATAAAGAAGCAAGATGAGGGTAGCATGAGGTGGGGGTACTTTTTGTGTAGTCACCTTGAGGATTGTCATTAAGGAAAAAAGCCCAATTGTTTCATGGTCCCATTAGTACCACTGCAGTTCCTTAACACGGGGACTGTTGGAGGTAATGAGTATGATGGCTGTGGATTATGCAGTATGCTTTTCATACATTTTGAAAGATGATAATGTTCTATGCTGTGGGATCTACTTGGTTATGAGAGAAAATCTGTAGCTCTGTTTCAGGAAAGGATAAAAGGCATAAGAATCCTTTTTTTTTTTTTATCACCTTTTCTTCCTTCTGAGAGGTGAACTATCTGAGGCTGGTATTCTGAAGAGAATCATTATGATAAAAGGAACTGGTCAGGCATCGCCATTTATATTTACCCTATTTTAGCATGAGTTCTCACGAACCTAATATAATGTACTAATGTATTCTTTTGCAGCTGGATGAAGGCTGGCTGGAAGATGAAAGGAATGAATTCTTAGAGGAGTTAAACTTGGAGATGTTGGAAGAACAGCATAATGAAGCAATGCAACGCACTGCCAATGAGGTGGAGCAGGTAGGGCCAACAATTTGAACTACATCATTTGTAATGTTGCCAGTTCTTTTTTTAAGGTATAACCATAAATGGAGTGAAAAACAAAATCAAAGAGTTTGATCAAACATCTCTTTAATGGTAATTTTTGAGAGCAAAGGACCATCTCAAGTGAAGTAGAGAGAATAAATACGATTTTTTTTCTATTAAGAATATTTCTAGTTCAGAGAGGTTAGGGACCATTGTTGATAGAGTACAGTAGTATTCAAATGTTGACCCAAGTACTGTTCAGCCTGATGCAGAAATTTAATACTAAAAATGCATATTTCTTCTCAATATGCCAGCTGGGGACAAACTATATCTCATGAGGTAACCCCTTCCCCCAAAAGTAATTTTATACTTTAAAATATTAATGTATCTATTTGAATATTTAGGCAACTATAGGATGATGATGACATGATGTAAGCCATCAATCTTATTTGTGTCTTTGGTATCATGATTACACCTATATACTCCTGAATAGGAGTAGTTCTATTTCAGATTATTGACATCGTTTTGCTGTAGGGTCACAATCATTCAACAAAAAATTCTGAGCTCCTTATATGTTCCAAGTACTACACTTGATCCTGAGAATGCAAAGAAAAATGAGCAAAGTCCTGCCCTTAATTAATTCATAGCTAATAAAAAAAATCACAGTGTGGTCCATGGGAAACTGAGTCTTAGGATTTTTTTCATTTTTGTTGTTTTCCTACTGGATAAAAACAAGATTAGTATATGCTAGATTTTTTATGTCAGATTCATGTCATTCATCTGCTGATATAATTTTATTAACACTTCTGCTGTCAGTTTACTGATTTGTTTAATTATAATACTATTCTAAACACTAATTCTTAACACATTCTAAAAGATAATTTTTTTAAAAAATCCTTACAGTTAGGCTTAGGAACATGAAACACATACATCTTATCACATTACCAAGCTGAGTGATGAAATATCTTGATGCTAGCATCCCATAACAGAAAGGTATGTGTGTGGGGGGTGCATGTCTATATATTAAGTAAATCATGAAATTGAAAACTACAGTGTCATCATAGCCATATGTGCTATACTTTGTGCCGATCATGGATGCCCACTGGCCACTTCACGAAAATAGTTCATGCTCAAAAGTGATGCTGTGACTGTGGTGATTGCTTTTCAATATAGGTAGGACAGATTGAAATTTTTATGTACGACTTCAACACCAGCCACAAATAAAGATATTTTTTGGTGGCAGCTGCTGGTTACAAGCAAGAAAGTCCTTCCTCCAGGCTTTTTCTCTCTCGGATACAAAATGTGACCTGATACAGAATTGACAGGAGGATGTTGGAATAGAGAAAGAAGGAAGAAATCCTGTCCAAGTGAAGTGATATGGTGTCAAATGCTGCCTACTCATCAGACGTAATACAAATGCTAGGTCTTTTGAGGTAACACTAGATGGTCCCGGAGGTTAGATTCTCATTGTCTGGAAATTTTTCTTCACCTTGAGACTGAAAAATGATGAGAAGTACAGAAACCTTTAAAAGTTCTTTGCCCTTATAAACAATAATACTACATTAGAAATGTCTTGGTAGAAACATTGCCTGTCACTATAATAATTCCGTAGGGAAATGATAAATGATAGAGTAGCGTTACATTAGAAACCAGGAATTCTAGGTTTGAGGATGGAAAACTCTTTATGTTCACATTGCTCATAAAACAGTTACAAAGGAAAGGGAAATTCAATAAAAAATAAAGTGTATATCCATATTTTAAAACTAAAATATGTATCCATATGAAAGTTTCACTTTACCTACTATCCTTGGTCCTATGGCTGCTGGTGACACATTGTGCATCTCCCATCACATAATTTGTCTGTATCATTCATACTGCGTATAAAATAAGAAAAGAAATACTAGCCACTTTGTGGTTTTTGAGCTCATTATAGATATGAGAAAAATATAAATGTAAGTAGTGTGGTGTGTAAACTCATATGTTCAATATCAGTAACATCCTTTGGGGGTTTTATGGTGCAGTGTGCAGATGTCAACACATTTGATACTACTGTCAGCTTAGAGCAAGGGGCGTGGGTATGTAACAAGCTTCCCATTGTTAGTTACATAAAACTTTAAAATCAAATTCACTATGTTTTCAACAAATGAGGAAAAATATTCTAGGGAAAGATTGAGAATCCTAGAACAACATGAGATACATGGTCATGTTCTCTTCCCTCCAGTTTATGTTACATTTTGTTCTGCCATTACTTCTGTGAAGAAAATAATAATTATCTGGAGAGACCCTTTCAGACCTGTTTTAGAATAACTTGATCACGCATTCTGTCCTTGTAACACTAACAGGCTTAATTATATTTAATTGTATAATTACATATATAATAATATAGAGATCAAATGGTGAGTAAACTTAGATATAAGGAAAATACAATCTAGAAACTGCTGTGTAGACTACTATATGATAAGTGATGGAGGAAAAAGTAACTTTACCCTATTCACAGAGAAAGAACTACACTTGCATCTCCTTAGGGCAGTGACAGTTAATTGTTCTGCCTGAGACCAAAAATTACTAGCAAGTGAAGTTTACATACATATTTAAATATGTGTGTGTGTATTTACATATATATGCCAAAATATTTTTTGACATTGTGCCCATGTCTGGCAATCAATGCTGCTTAGACTTTCATGAGAACTGTCATTTTATTCTCAGTAGAATAAAACTCACCTTTGAAGGAAATTACTGGTTAAAAGTAGAAAAATCTTTGTAAGTGACCCAAATGAGTCTTATGAGGTTGTTGCTGTTTTTCAGTAACATGATTTGGAGATGCACTGAGGTCAAAGCACAGTATCTAGGAATGTGGCATCCTGGACATATAAGAAATCCTGACACTGGGAGATGGCACTGGCCTTCTAGACCTCTCTGCTGTTAATCCCCATCTGGGATTAAGGTTCTTTATCTATAGAGAGAAGGTCCTGGGCTCCAGCACTAACCTATTCCTGAAATTTTGCAGTGTTGGGCTAACCATTATTACTGTATTACTAGATCAGTGATGTTTCCTGTGAACTTGAGGAAAGTTCAGAAAAAAAATAGTAATAACATGACACAGCTTCTGAACTCCAGGCCTTCATATCGCTAAAGACCGTTTAGACATTCTGTCTTACTCCTCATCTTGTGTGTGTATTATCACCTCAGAAACTCATAAATTCACCTCATTTACACACCTTTACTCCGAAGTTTCCCAAGTAAGGGAAACCTTTCAGCTAAGAATCACTTATTTAAATGTGTCCTGTTTTATTTATCCCCACCTGTCAAAGCCATAGTTAAGCAGCTTTTGTTTTCTTTACTTCCTTGCATAAAAAGCTGCCATGAGCTAATTGCCTTTATTTCTAAAATTATTATGGATACTAAAATTAGAGCAGCTTTCTAGGAACTGCCCTTTTGCCAAGAAGCATTGCTTTTTCAAGCAAGTTTTTCAACAATTGGCGTTGTTCGAAATAATTAATTTTCTTTGTTCTCTGAACTTTGTTATCCTAGCCAAAGAAACAAGAAGAAGAAGAAGGTACGACAGACACAGCAACATCCTCATCCAACAACCATGAGAAGGACAGTGGAGTGGGGCGCACCGACGAAAGCTTGCGAAATGATGAGAGCTCGGAGCAGGAGAACGCAGCTGAGGATCCCAACAGCACATCTTTGAAGAGCAAGAGAGAGCTGGGGCACAGCCAAGACACTCTAGGAAGCGTTGAGCTTCAGTGCAATGAGAGCTTCGTGTCTGGTGAATACATTGACTCAGACTGCACTGGCAACCAGGATGAGGAGTGTGAAAGGTTCCGGCAGCTCTTGGAGCTCAAGTGCAAGATTCGAAACCATGGAGAGTATGACCTGTATTACTCGAGCAGCACAATAGAATGCAATCAAGGGGAACAAGAGGGAGTGGAGCATGAGCTACAGTTGCTTAATGAAGAACTAAGAAATATTGAACTCGAGTGCCAGAATATCATGCAGGCTCACAGGCTCCAGAAAGTGACAGACCAGTATGGAGACATCTGGGCACTGCATGATGGAGGATTCCGAAATTATAACACCAGCATAGACATGCAAAGGGGAAAGCTAGATGACATCATCGAACACCCAGAAAAGTCAGACAAGGACAGTTCTAGTGCTTACAACACAGCTGAAAGCTGCAGAAGCACTCCGCTCACTGTGGACCGTTCCCCTGACAGTTCCCTTCCAAGAATGATCAACCTCACCAATAAGAAAAACCTGAGAAGCACAATGGCAGCCAGTCAGTCCTCCTCTGGACAGAGCAGTAAAGAGTCGACCTCGACCAAAGCCAAAACCACTGAACAAGTTTGCGGCATTGAAGGCAAGGAGAAGATTTCAGAAAGCAACAAGCTTTCTGATCAAGAGAAGGCAGGCAGCGAACACATCCCTTACCTCTCTCCTTATCACAGCTCCTCATATAGATATGCCAACATCCCAGCCCACGCCCGGCATTATCAGAGCTACATGCAGTTAATTCAACAGAAATCTGCTGTCGAGTATGCACAGAGTCAGCTCAGTTTGGTGAGCATGTGCAAGGAGTCTCAGAAGTGTTCAGAGCCCAAGATGGAATGGAAGGTGAAAATTAGGAGCGACGGGACACGGTACATAACAAAGAGACCAGTGCGAGACCGGATTCTGAAGGAACGTGCCTTAAAGATCAAGGAGGAGCGGAGTGGTATGACGACAGACGATGACACCATGAGCGAGATGAAAATGGGGCGCTACTGGAGCAAAGAGGAGAGAAAGCAACACCTGGTTCGGGCCAAAGAGCAGCGTCGGCGCCGAGAGTTCATGATGCGGAGCCGGTTAGAGTGTCTTAAGGAGAGTCCTCAGAGCGGCAGCGAGGGCAAGAAGGAGATCAACATCATTGAACTGAGTCACAAAAAGATGATGAAAAAGAGAAACAAGAAAATTTTGGACAACTGGATGACAATCCAAGAACTGATGACCCATGGAGCCAAGTCTCCTGATGGCACACGAGTTCATAATGCCTTTTTGTCAGTCACCACCGTATGACCGAATGAATGGAATGCAACTGATTTTAAGAGGGTGCTACCAGTTTGGGTAGAGTATGATTGCCTCGTTCAATGTGGCGTTTTTATATATATTTTGTGACTCTTTATAGTTTAAATTTTTTGTAAGCAAAAATACCTGGTAATTTTTCATTTGTTTTTCATATCCTGGTACCTTCTTTTGGGCTGAGATCTTTCTTTAACCTGTGATATATTCATATTACTCATTTATATATAAAATAACAAACAAAAGGAAAGAGAACAAAAAAAACTTGAACAAACATACTGAGGAGCCGATTAATTTCCTACTTTAATGTATCTATTGTAAGTTAAGATCTGGATTTATTTCTCTAGTTTACTTATTTTCTACTTTAATAACAACTCAATGCCAAAACATTTCTATGCTTGCTTCCTGGCATAATATGTATTAAATCAACCTTGTTAATAAATCATGTGCCACATCTTGTCCTATACATAAAAACCACCTCTTTTTAACATCCTGTTGTACATTTAACACATAAATGACCGTTGTCTTTGTCTCAGTAAAGTGTAGGTGGACAATCTTCCTGTGATATGTAGTGACATTGGTCATGTAGCTAGATAATTGTGGTAATTGTGACAATAAAAGAGAAATAAATTATTGATTATCCTTAAGAAAGTTATCAATGAGTGTTTTATTTTCATTGTCTGCTGTGGTTACCAGATATAAATTAGTTATATATGTATACTATTTAGAAGACTCTCAGTTGTGGATTATAAAATGTGTACATTTTCTATCACTGTTTTTCAATAAAATTGTCTTGAAATACTTCCAGTATATCATTGTGTCACATATTAGTACCAGGATTAAATTCGATCATGTATGTAGAGCATCTAACAGATGCTAACTAAACATTCAATAAACATGAGTTCCTGCTCTCCTTGCCTGCCACCCATGTAAGGAAAAATCAATAAAAATTTAGGGAAGTTATGGAGAGAGGACCAGTGAAGTGTCTAAGATTGTTTATAGTGACGCTGTATGTATTAGTCAGCTCAAGCTGCCATAACAAAATACCATAGACGGTGAAGTTTAAATAAGAGGAACTTATTTCTCACAGCTCTCAAGGCCGGGAAGTCCAAGATCAAGGTGCTGACCAATTCAGCTCTTTGGTGAGGGCTCTCTTCCTGTTTTGCAAATGGCTACCTTCTCAGTATGTCCTCACGTGGTAGAAAGAGGTGAAGCTCTCTGATGTCTCTTCTTATAAGGGCACTGATCTCATCATAAAGACCCCACTCTTATGGCTTCCTCTAAACCTAATTACCACCCAAAGGCCCCACCTCCAACAACCATCACATTGAGGGTTAAAGCTTCAACATATGAATTTAGGGGGGAAGACACAGTTCAGTCCATAGCACTATGTGCATTTCTTTAGTTGATCATTTAATTTTTGGCATTAAATTTTGGGAATACATTTTTGGGAAACATCTTTTTAATAATTTTCAGCATGGTGAACTATAAATGCCCCTTTATGTCAGTTTATTAAAAAGTGAGATGTTAGATCATCAGATAGGTTTTTTAAATCTAGCTTTTCATCATGTAAACATATAAACCGTATCATATGTCAATCATGATGCCTCCAGAGTAAAAGGCCAGATCAACCGTGTGCATGCAAACATGAGTTTGATCAAATTTTCATTCAACCGAAGAGATTAGTTTAACATAATGGAGAGACAACATCTGAGTGTTTTTATAGCTACTTTCATGTTTAAAAACCTACAGTGGCTCCTTATTAGCTCTGATGCCTCAGCCTTATATTCAAGGTCCTCCATTAACTTGCCCACCATGCCTATTGCCCCTCATCTTTAGATCTTCTTGAAGTTATTCCTGGCTCCTTAACAGCCTGCACATTTCCACTGAAGTTAGCTTATGCTATTCTCCTGTGTGGGGTTTCTGTGCCAAATCCCACGCTTCCCTTGGAGTGTAATCACATATACATTTTCTCTTTGGAGCCTGTTTTGATGACATGGGATTTTCACAGCATTTTGGCATTCACCATGATGCACCTGCAGTATCCTTTTACCTTGGGGATTTTATTCTTCTGTTATTGGAATCACATACATAGAACTTATTGTCTCCCCACTTTGATTTTAAATTCATGGAGTTTGGCCCTTGTTTCCCCCTCTGTTTGTGTAAGCCTCTGGTAGAATGCCAACTGAATAATTATAAATGCTAGTTGAGTTCAATTATTTTATTCATTCATCTCTCTCCTCCACATATTGGTCCTTTTGTTACTGTTTTCTCTACTCTTCTACACTTCTAAGTTCTTACCCTTTGAAGGGCTATTACATAGATGGAAAGAAATGATTTTTTTTACATATATTGAAAATCTGAACTCAAAACTTATAACGATAGTAATAGCAACCTAAGGCAACTGAAAATTTCATCACTTCTATCGTTAGACATCGTAATCCGATCTGTGAGACTACTCTGAATACACCTAGAGTTAGCTTTGCATCAAATGGTTTTACATGAGAATTCTTGTCTATCTTAAGAGTTCAGTTCTTTCCTGACCTAATGCCTAAGAGGTTGTTTATCCTCTTCACACAACTGGGTTTAAATATTCACCAAATTTGAATTACTCCTATAGACAAATGTGGTTTGGAATTGACATATGCATTTTTCCAGAGGAAACATATACGTATCTCAGAACGCAGTGTTTCCAAAGTTACCAGTTTAATTTTAGTTTTATTAAGGCCAAGTGTTCTTGCCAATTTTTTTTAAATGTGATGTTGGTGTTCTTCAGAAATGTCTGTGTTTATACAATTCTACAAGTTGAGAAATGTCTTTTTCAAAAATCAGTGAAAATCTGAAAAGTGTTATGCTTTCTCTTTCTACATAAATATCTTTGTGCTAAACACTTTTTTTAGTAAATGAATAATAAATCTTTTGCTCAGCAAAGAAAAATAATTATATATGGGATATTTTATTTCAGTTCAGAAGAAATACATGAATGTGAAGAGGAATAATATTTTACGTGGGCTTAGCTTTGAAATTCCATATTTTTTATTGCTTTTTATATTCATGATGTGACAGAAATTGGTGTTAGGATTTATATGTGAATGACCTAATGGAGTGGAAGACAATGTATGTTCAATGGGCGTGTCTTCACTGCATGCCATCTTATTTTGTGCAGACTGTCCTCTTAGGAACACAGAATGTGGGCTGAAGGAGGGCTTCTCTGACATAGCCTTTCCGTAGCTACATACTGATTTAATCCCTGTCTTGTTTGTTTGTCTAAATCTTCTACCTAAACACACTCTCTTTATCTCTCCAATGAGCTTCTGCTCTCTGCTTCGAATTCCTTGTTTTCTGATAGTGCCACTGTTCACCTGCTCTCCCATGCTCATCACTTGAGTCTTCACAATTGATCCTCTTTTTTCTCTGGTCAGTCACGAAGCAGTGTTCACTTTTCTTCAAAACTGTCAGATTGTCTTCAGAACCCTTAAATCACCTTTCAGCTAGACTGTCACTGTCTCATGCCTAATTCCTTCAACAGGTCTATGCCTGGTGTCCCTGTACGCCCTCTCCAGTCTATCCTCCTATATACATCAGAAGCAGGAACACTGGGCCTCCTAAGTAGCTGTTTCCTCACTGTGCTCAGATGCCTTCAGAAGTCTTTTCCTGAGCGTGGGGTAAAATCTGAGTGCCTGAGACTATTATCCAGGGACTTCAACAATTTAACCTCAACCTTTTTTTCCATCTCACTCACACTTCTCTCCAGGGGAGACTTCCAACTCAGACCTCAATAAACCTGTGCCTTGGGTAGGTGAATAATATGATGCTTCTTCAAACTAATCTTTAAATTTTATTTTCTAGTAATTTATTCTACTCTATTAATTATTAGTTAATTTCCATTAGTTTTCTATTTCTATTAATAATCATTAACGTAATTGATATAACTAATTTAATAATAATAATTATTAAATAATTTCTATTAACGTTCAATTAATAAAGTTGAACCCTGCAACAGGCTCACTGACTAATGCACTTCTAAAAAAAGTAAAAACTTTTCTCCCAGCAAATTATTTCCCACTTATCTGAAGCTTTTGTTCTCTTTTCAGTTTTCTATCATTATTTTCCAAAATGTCTGTCTTTGGAGGTATATTAAATGACTTAAAATTTAGATAAAAACATACCATTTGCTCCTGTAAATATGCAACGATGTGGTTTCAGAATTCCAGTGAATAGTGACTACAGGAAGCCAGTGACAAAAATAATTGACTGAGATAGTCATCTGTTGAGTGTGTTGAGATTTTCTGTTGTTTTGCTTTTTGCTGTTTCCACTCAAGTATACTACTCTTTTCAGCGAGAGCAAGACCGGTTCACACTGTAGCAGTTTTATAAGAAGTGTCCTTGTAGAACTGAGTAAATGGGCACCATAAAGCTGATTATTTGGGGACTGTTTTTGTGCTACTTCTAGTGTCCATCCCACTGTGCTTCTGCTTTAGTCAGACAGGACTCCCTCCCGTTTTTTGAACATGCCATTCTCATTTCCAGAGCCACTCTTTGCTGGTGGTGTTTTGTGTGTTAGATAACCCTTCTCCTTTCTCTTTGTCCATTCCTCCATCAATGTTTATTTCACGTCTTTACATCTCTCCAGGAGATTTCCCCTAACTCTTGCTAACAGCCTCTCTTACTTCTGAACATTTATAGATGGTATTGTCTTAACACTCACTTGGCTGTCCACACAATAATGTCTAATATTTTTTTCCGTAATGTGTCTGTCATGAATATAGTGTGTTGCACAGTTAGTAACCATTACCACGTATGTCCTTCTGGCATTTCTTCTGTTTTACCAAACAAGAGCTGCTCAGGATTTTGGGTGCCATGCATTTAGTACGTATCCCTGTCAACAGTGTTGTGTTGGAACCAGCATTGCTCCTATGTTCATGGGCCATCTGTAAACTAGGGTCATGCTTGTTATTAAGTATCCTACCACAAGTTTTTAACTTATTAATATCCACTACTTATTTACTGCCTCCTAGTTCTGCCACTTACTAGGTCTGTGTTCTTAGGCCTTTTATTTAAGTTTGCTGCTGCTCAGTAATTATAGCTTTTTTCATAGGTTGGGAATTAAATGAGTTAATACATATAAAGAAGCTAGATGAGTGCTGGCAGAGAGTGGACACTCAATAGATATTAGCTATTTTTATTTACAGATGAGCAAACTGTAGCTAATATAATTTTAGTAATCCACCATAAATTCCTGCAGCTACTAAGCAATAGATTCTGGATTCAACTTTGTGATGGTCTGCCCCCAAAGTTTCTCTTCCTTCCACTACCTTCCACTTCCTTCCATATTAAGAATGGACATCAGAGATAATAGCAACTTGTTCACTAAGCTCCATCGGTTCTGCTTCACACAGAAGTCCAGGTACTGACACCATTTTCTCTGTGTCAGCAAACATGCTGACATTCTTCATTGGTTCTACTTTACCAGTCAGCCTATTTTTTGAATTCCGTGTTGCCTATGGTGGGGAATTATGGTGGTAGATTTTATCTTTGATCAGTCAACGAGCCTGTGATTGTTTCTCTAGAGCTAACCAGTACAAAACTACATTCTGCCTCAAATTTATTATCGCCTCTTTCCATTGTGCTGCCTCCCACATCCATGATCAGAAAAGTGACATTGTTGTAAAGAACCTCATGGATATCCCATTTGCAGGACTGTCACGGATCCTTAAAGCCTAGTATTCTAATAGGAAAGATAGTCAATGCTAGATATTCAATCCTCAAATGTGTTTGAACAAAGAGTTTAATAAACCAAGACATTTATT